CCCCAACCAGGCGGCGGGGAAAGCCAGTCTCCTATCCTCCATCGTACCAGAGGGACTTCACTCTCTCTTTCATTTCCTGGGCAAGCCAGATTGAAATATGGGAAGATCGACACTTCCCATGACATAGGCACGTATGGCAGGAGGGGGGAAGGAGATACCTCCCGAGAGAAGGTCTTGCACAGCGCCCTTGTCGCTCACCGCCTGGGGCAGTCCGCAGGGAGCAGGGCTATGAGGGTCCTGCTCTGCGCTGCCCGTTAGGGACAGCCAGGCCTGAAAACCAAACCAAAGCCACAGCAGCCCGAAGGCCCAACACCAAGCCGGGGCCTGTCGAGGCAACGCCGGGCCGGACAGCGTCGGCTTCTCCTCCAAAAACAGCCCCCCGCCCGCGCCCTGCGCCCCTCCCCCAGCCACACCTCATCTCCTGAAGCGGCTGACACGGATCGAGGGGCCGAAGTGGCCAAGGCCGATCCGAGGTCCCCCTCCGAGCGCCGCCATCGTCCCCACTCCTCCTACCCCGCCTCACTCACCCGCTGCGCCTTCTCCCAGATCTGGTTCAGCTTCAACACCCGGAACTCCCCGACCTCCCAGCGCTTGGCGCCGGAGGTCGCCAAGCCCTCGTTGGCCTCCCGGGAGTATTTGCTGGCGTGAGCGCCAGCGGCAAGGAGAAACGCGGCGCCGAAAGCCACCAGCACCCGCGGCGCCGCCACGCCGCGCCGAGCGGGCAACTACAAGTAAGTCCCGGGATGCCGTCCGGCTCCCCGCCCTCAGGCCGCCGGCAGGAGGCTGCTGGGGGGCGGGCTGTTCGTTCTCCTGCTCGGCCAGGGTTAGGGATGTTTGTCTTAGGACAAGAAGTTAAAAATCCAGGTTTAGGTCGAAAATCTAGCGTCTGTTTTGTGGCCTAAAGGATAAGAATTAGATTTAGGCTGCTGCTTTTCAAGCGTCTTCGTGTCCTTCTGAGTGTTTGCTTCGCAAAACGTGAGAGTGTGCTGAATGTAGCAGTTTTTGTGAGTGGTTTTTTTCCTTTTATTTCACAGCCTGTAGTAGCCACAGCGAATACTCTCCTTCTGCACTCTGCGTGTCCCTCAGTGAGGTGTTGCTATCAGCTGTGCGAACAAACGCTGCTCTGAACACCACCCCTTTGATTGACCAAAGTTTTCAGATGTTAGCAGTGTTCAAGAGTTTACAGGAGAAAAAAAAGCGGCAACTCAGGAAGAGTGGAAAGCAAGAATGGGGACCAGCTCCCCAGTAGTCCCTCTGAGGGGAAGGACTCTGTCTTGCTTTGGAGGTGGTGGTGGAGGACACCTCTACCCAGGACAGATAGGGTTTGACGGTGTGGGGAGAAGTGGAGCTGTGGCAGATGTAATAATGAGTAGATTGGGTCATTATCAGGCAGTGAACTACAAGGATGGCTCCAAAATTGATTGTGTGTGCTGAGAGTACACCTCTTGGGCAGGAGAGCCCCATCCTGCATGGCATCAACCTCCCTTAACAGTGCTTCTACCTCAAGTACATAGCCAAGAAGTGCAGTAGGCCACAGGAAGTTTTTGAATGGGATTAAGTCAAGTTATACATCTCATGATGCTCAGAAAATGCCTAATATTTAATCCAGAGATAGTATACATCCTCCCAGGTTTTTAAAAAAATTGTTAAAATTGAGTGCTGCTATGAAGGAAGTGCAGGTGGTGAGAGCACACTTCATGTGGCTGTTTCTGAGGGGAAGGCGGTGAAGAAAGTTGTTCCTTCTCTTGTCTTCTTGATGAATCCTCTTCTTCACATTGCAAAGCTTGTGTAGTACAAGGTCATCAGCGTAGCTGGGTGTTTTTGTGTTGAGTTTGTAGTGGTAGGGTTGCCTTCCTGAGCCTAGCTGGTGGTGGAGACAAAGGTTTGCTTCATAAATTCACCTCAGATCTCATGTGTGACCTTGAGCAAATTAAAGCATAGCTCTGTAGTACTGTCAACACCGAGCCTTCATGCATTATAAACCAGTCCTATGAAAACAAATATATTGCCTAAACTATAATGAGATTTCTGAAAACAATGCCCCAGGGAGGATTTTTACTGAACACTTATTTTTGCCTTGCAAGCAATTTAAACAACTTGTCTTTTCCACATTTTCCTAAGTCAGTGCAATGATTCTCAGTCATATGAACCTAGAAGCTGTTGCTGTACGACTAAATTCCAGGAGTGGACAAAAGTATTGCAGCATACATTGCATTGAAGAGCAATTGAAATGAGCATTGAACTATATATTGGAGCATTGAATTATAGCAAAATAATGGTGGGAAAAGAAGCGCATCAGTCTCCCTGGGACCCTACAGAGGGCTGTACTGAAGTGATGTTAGTGAACGTCGTGCAAACAATAACCTTAGAAGGTGATGTGTTAGGTGTTTCGCAGGGTGCCCTTCTCTTCCCTCTGGGAGACCATGGATACCTCCAAGTAGTAACATGGGCCCTACTCCTTGCCAAACTGAATTTTAGCAATGAACAGCACCATTACATATTTTTTGTTCCATCCATGTAATACTGACAAGGTGAAATATAAAAGCTTGTTTTTATCATCCTCTGTCCTCTCTGTAATAAGTAATTTTCCTAATATTTGAGAGTTGGTAAAATTCCCACCAAACCCATCACCTCTTCCCAACCACAATCCTCATCCCACGTATGAAAAAGCAGTTCTACAAGCAGTAAGCCAACATTTTCAACATTTTGTTTTTCAGATCCTGGTTCTGCATTCTAGCTGTGCCAAGAGCAGCACTCAGGTGAATCAAATCTGTATCAAAGGTTTAGGCCAGCTACTTGCTCTTCCCATCCACTTCTTTCACATTTCCTCTGTATGGCTCATTATCCTATAGAAAATGCACTTTGATCTTTCATTCTCCAAAATCTAGCCCAAATGTTGAGTTTGATAATATCAGGTCACTAGGAAACATACCTCTTCCAAAGTACTTCTACATCTTTGTCCCTCTGCATTTCATCTTTAAAAGCCCAATTTGATCAGTAATAAACTGACGTACCCCACTCTTTATTTGGAGAAAGTCCTCATCATATTGATTGTCCTCCCTGTCAGAATATAACCCAAGACAGAGTCATCTCTATTAAAACAAAAAACATACAGTTTTCAATTAACTCCCTCATTCTACTTGTCTGTGCAGCCTGCAGTAATCATTCTTTATGACTCTACTTCCAGAAGTGTAAACCTAAGCATAGCAATAACGCTATACAGAAGCAGACTGTAGTTGTATTTTGAAAAAATAACCCCCCCCAACAACCTAATTTCTTTTCTAAGCCATGTTTCTCACTGTACTTCTCCAAAGTTAGCACTTAAGAGTTTCTAAGTTGTAGTTTACATTGGATCATAGAATCATAAGATCACAGAATAGTTTGGGTTGGAAGGGACCTTCAAGATAATCCAGTCCAACCCCCTCTGCCATGGGCAGGGACATCTCCCACTAGGCTGCTCAGAGCCCCATCCAACCTGGGCACAGCTGCCAAACAACCTTGGGTTTAAGGCAGCTGGCTGGCACAGCCCACACACTGCCAGGGGACAGCAGCTCCATCACTCCCAGCACCACACTGGGGTGCCAGTGTGGGTAACGCTGCATGTGGGATAGGGGGGAGACCAGAGGACCTTCTTGGAGTGCAGGCTCTGCTTGCACAGCCAGGCACTGGCCGAAATTCCCTCTGGCAGGGCTCAGATCCATCACTGCAAAGGGACTGTAGTGAAGGAGATGGCTGGGTGTGGAGATGTGAGTGCGGTCAAGGACTGTCCTGCACCTCCAGTGTCTGGGGCAAACACATCACTGAGCTGGCAGGGGATGTCTGGGGAAGGAGGAGCTGCCTCACCCGAGGGGTTTGTGACCCAGCTCTGCACATGCTGTGTGGGAAGGACCCCGAGAGATAGGCAGCCCCTGGTTGAGATGCTGGTGTCACCTCACTGGGACATCTGGATCATACTGGAGGGCAGAAGCTGAGCCTGGGCTGAGGAGAAGGAAGCACTGTGGGATCTGCCATGGGGCTGAGGCTGCTCTGCCCAAGGGGAGCAGTGAAATCAGGGTGTAGGAAGGGCAAAGGATTCCCCGTGTGTCCCTTCTCTCTTGTCAGGGCAAGATCTTCAGAAACACCCAAAGGGTTTAATAATCCAAACACTTTATTTAGGCATCAAAACTCCTGACTCCTCATTAACAGGCATGTTGATATCTTTTAAATCATTTTTGTATTTTCACTTTCTTAGCAAGCAAAATTTAGTTTAACAAACGTATGTAAATTAGAAAAAATTTTCCAGTTGAAGAGGGATGCAGCTTAAGCACTCTGCTGTGTGTCTGATGCCGGAGGCTGAGCCTGCTGCACTGGGGCAGCAGTGGGGAAGGGTCAGTTCTTCGGCTTCTGGAAGTGTTTCACATGCTGCTGCACCCAGGCCTCCTGGGGGTTTGCGCACAGCTCTCTCCCTGTCTTGGTGACCAGGCTGTTGGGAGAAAACCAATGTTGGGGTGCTCGGCTGGGGCAGTGTGGTACCTGCGCTGGGTCCCACTGGCAGAGCCCCGGATGTCCCTGGCCATGTCCCTTTCCCCCTTCCGACCACTCTTGGACATGCTTGGGGCGGTGCCCTGGCTGTCACACCCCGACCCCTGGCAGCGCTGGGTACTCACATCACTGCTGGCTGGCTGCAGGCGCTGCTGGTGGTGTAGACGGAAGTGATGCGTCTCTGCGGGATGGGGCGGCTCAGGTATCTGAGGCAGCAGACAGAGGGGACGTTGTCTGTGGGGGCAGAGAGACAGCCCCAGTGAGACCCCACAGTGTGGTAGAGGCTCTGCCTGGGCCTCCCAGGGGATTCTCCATCACCTATGCTGTGTCCTCTGGGAACACCCCCTGGGAGCACTGTCCCAGCACTGGTGATTACCACCTGCTTCCATCCATCCCCATGGACACAAGGGTCCCATCAATGGGGATGAGGCTCTCTCCTGGGGAGGGACAGCTAACCTAGATCCTGGAGTGATGCAGGAATGGGATGGGCCTCAGCTGGAGAGCAGATGGCCATGATGAGCAGAGCAGCCAGGGTGACTGCAGGAACCTTCATGGTGCTGCAGGTGTTGAGGGAACTGAGTGGAGCTGAATCTGGGGTGGCTGCAGGGTTCTCTCTCAACCCCTGCTCCCCCTGTCCTCCTTTTATGCCCTGGCTGCTGGGTGGGTGCAGGGTTCCAGAGAAAGAAGATGAGTGCATCGTACTGGGGAAATTATGTAAGCATTGCCCAGTTTTGCTGAGCTAGAGAAGACAAACCACAGAAGGGGACATGCTGGCCATAGGGCTGTGACTTTCAGATTCAAGAGAGAACAAGTCTATGAGGAGTGGCAGAGGGAACTGGGGTTTTCTATCCTGGAGAAAAGGAGGCTGAGAGGAGGAGACCTTATCGCTCTCTGCAACTACCTGAAAGGAGATTGTAGTGAGGTGGGTGTCGGTCTGTTTTCCCCAGTAACAAGCAATAGAACAAGAGGAAATGGCCTCAAGTTGCACCAGAGGAGGTTTAGATTGGATATTAGGAAAAATTTCTTCACCAAAAGTGTTGTAAAGCACTGGAACAGTCTGCCCGGAGAAGTGGTGGAGTCACCATCTCTGGAGACATTTGAAAGATGTATAGACGTAGTGCTTAGGGACGTGGTTTAGTGGTGGAGTTGGTAGTGTTAGGTTAACGGTTGGACTTGATGATCTTAAGGGTCTTTTCCAACCTAAATTATTCAGTGATTCTGTTCTGTGACATTTGTGGTGCTGCAGGGGCCGAGGGATGCATGAGTAGGGCTGGAGCTGGGGTGGCTGCAGGGCTCTCTTCTGCACGGTGCACGGCCCCTGCTGCCACTGCCCTCCTTTCATCCCCCAGAGATGTAAAGGAAAGAGAAGAGTGCATCATATAGGGGAAACTATGTCAGAATCACCCAGTTTTGCTGAGCTGGAGAAGCAAGCGAGCCGCAGAAGGGGAAGCACTGGCCATGGGGCTGCAACATTCAGATTCCGTTTGGGCCAGAGCCCAAACCTCTGTGACACCAACCCTGCTGCTGCTGCAATGACCCCACCAGACAAGATCTGAGCTAACAGGAGCTGGATTCCTCTGATATTCCCTTAAGGAGTCTGCGACAGCTCACTGTGATGGAAAGTTGTCTTAAAAGCACTTAATGCGCTCATTCCTCAGGTGGTGCAGAGGCTTACAGCTGTGCCTGAGACTTCATGGGTAAACCTTCCTTCTTTGAGCAAACTCTTGTTTTCAGCTCGGAGAAGCAGTCCTCATCACAGCATCTGTCTTTGTGATTCTCTGCATGGGTGACTCTCAGTCCCCTGTCCAAGCAATCACAGATAATGTGTCCTTTTCCAGTACTGGAAGTTGTAGGTCTGTTTTGTTCCAAGTCTGAATCATAGGAAAGCTACTCTGTTGTAGTGTGGTTGAAACTCTTTTTGTTTTGTTTTAAATAATTTTGTCCATTTAAATTAAGTTATGCTATGTAACTGTTTTCTTCTTCTGAAATAACTTCATATTTTCCTTGGATTTAATTCTATGCATTCAAGCAGAAAGATAAACAATGCCAAACTGAGAAAATGAATTGCATAATATGCCAAAAAGATGAACTGAGGAAATGATTGTTATTACGTTAACTTCTTCCCTATATCCTTAATACGAATTACTGGAACATCAGAGAGAACTAACCAGCTTAGAATTTATTTTACAATATATATTCTCATAAGTGGATCCTTTCTTCTATCCACGTAATTTTAGTGAAAGAAAAAAGCAAGCTTTGGTATAATATTGCAAAACATCTCTCTAGAATATTTTATTCTTCTAAGTGCTAACAGCTTATGCTGTTAGTTATATTGCCATTTTCTTACTGAAATTACTTCCTTAGCTAAACTGTTTAGGGCTGATGCTACAGATACGTGTATGAAAACCAGCTTATGAATTCTGCCCTTCTAGAAATGATCTTTGTGGCTGATTACAGTGAACCTTGCCTTGTTTTGGGAAGAGACAAAGTATTCACTGGCATGTTTGTTTTAATGCTCCTGACTACATTTCTAGATGACTTCTGACACTGTGGTGAATCCAGCTTTCCTTCTTAGCCAGTTCCAGACACATGTTTTTATAGGCTCTTTCGTTATAAGTGTGCAGGGGATAATTAGGATTTTGCAGATGAAATCTTGACTTGTTTCAATGAGACAGAGTTTAGGTACTGAATAAGCTGAAGATGTGAAATGAGAGGTGTTTTCTCAAGCACTCAGAGTCTCAGAAACCATCTTTTTTTTATAATCCTGGTACCAGCATGGACTTTATTGTTGTGAGACTGGTTGCATTTTTAGTATTGAGTATGTAGGTAATTTTTAATAGAATTTAGACTGTAAATTATTAGTATAAAATAAACAATATATGTAAAATAATCAAAGATTGCTAACAGGTAGCTTGCCTGCCAGTGAAATGCAGCTCCTCTCTGAGATGAAGCCCATCAGTGCAACTCATGGTTGCAAATATATGCAGACATATTTTCTGGCCTGTTTGTTGTCAGAACTCTTGAAAAGAAGCAACAATATTTTTAAAGTTACTGTTATATGGGGAATTAAACTTTTCGTGAGCATCCTTCAAAGGAGGCTTGATGTTATAAACTCTGCCATGAATATGGAAGGGTACAAAAGGAGTAGTTTTCATTCTAATTGCTGTTCCTGAAGTTATGGTTTAGGCAGAAAAGGGGTCATGGGAGCTGTAGAAAACTGAGCCAAATAAACAGATGGGATTTTCTAGTCCAGCTGAAAGAACTGCTCTTCCTGTGGAGGGTTCAAAGAGAGGATTTCAGAGCTAGAAAGAAAATCTACATCACCTGCTATGAGATCATAGTGCTTCCCAGTGGGCGTTTCACAGAAATTCTTCAAGGAGGGAGAGACTGCTGTTGAGTTAGAAGGGCTACACCAGCCAAGCACTGATTTCAGGGTATTTTGCTATCCTGCGAGGCATTCAAATGTAAAAAGTCTAAGTAGCAGTGTCTGGACATCTGCTCAGGAGGAATGAACCGAACAGGACAATAATTGTAGAGGGAGATGAGGTCACACTAATCCCAAGAATTACAGCAATTCTCTTAAATTTGTTTGCTTGCAGTGTTATGATAGCCTCAAATATAACTTATGAGCTAGAATGAAAGACTTGCTCCTTGCCTGAAATACACATTATCCGAGTAAAGTTATGTTTTGAAGGAGTGCAGGTAGGGTTTTTTGGCGGAGCAAGAAGTACTGAGCTTGCAAATGTAAGATAAATGGTGAGCGAGAGCTACGGGGTGATGATGAAGTGACTCTTTTTGCTATAGTCTAGGTCAAAAAAGCAAGACAAAGCTGCACTTCCTGGTGGCATCATGCTGTTGTACTCAGTTGTTTCAGTTGGATTCTGTGGCTTCTGCAAGACGGACTACCAACAAAAAAGAAATCAGTGTAGTTGTCGAGAAAATTATTTTCTGGGGAAGAGTGGTTACATGAAAAGAATGGTTCTGGATAGTGTTAAATGTAGCATAACTAATATTGAGCACTACAGATGACAAATCTACCAGCCAAAAATATGAATAAACGAGAATCTAAATGTGAGCCACTTAATCACTTCTATTTGTTTTTTTTTTTTCCTAGATAACATCCAAAATAAAAATTGATCGGGAAGGATGGAAAAGTAAAGTGAATAGTCAAAAATCTGCTCACTTGAGAGCGGGTAGCAAGATCCAAATGTGGCTGTTCACTGCCACAGGATTAGGAAGAAGGTACACGGAAGGAAATGGATGATGTCTTCAGGGTTCCCAGAAGAAATCTGAATGCTTGTTATCTTGACTTGTGCGAAGGGACATGTTGCTGAAAGATGTAGACACTGAACATCCTTCCAGTAACACGGCAATGGACCTTGAGCTGGAGAAATGCTGCTGTTCCTATACCTCCATTCAAAATGCACTGGTGATCTGTCCAGATGCTAGCAAGCCTAATTTCTCTAGTGTTGTTTTAACTGGCACATATCTATAAACATTAATTACACAGTGAGCAGTGTTCACTGTGACCTTGTTGATAAAACTTTTTGAACATTCTCCTTCCTTCCAGGCTGCAGTTCTGTGTGCTTGGTCTGCACAAAATGTTCTTGGACGACAAGCGTAAGTTTTCAGATATTTGCAAGAGAATGAGTTATTCCTTATCCTTCCCTCCCTCTATATGTACCCAGCTGGGTACAAAGTCCTCATTTTCCCTCATGTTCTGTAGACCCTTCTTGAACCTAATGCTAGGCAGATACTGTTTCTCTTGAGATGATCAACTCTTTCTCTTGAGATGATCATTAAAAGTCATTGATCAGAAATAAATATTGAGCAGCAAGGAAAATATGCTGTTGATACTTATCTGAAAGACAAGTTGATTTTATTTTAATCAGACTGAAATTGTGTTCTGGAGTGTGCACTGTTAAGTTCACTCCACTGCATTAAAAAACTATGGCTATAGCCCAGAATTCCTGTTCATCCTCTGTTTTGGGCTGTATGTTTTCCAGGAATGACTTAAAATACTTTTGAGTATTTTGTGCACAGATGTATTCCTCAACTTTCTCTGGCTGTATGGATTATTTTTGGGTGTGTTCTCCAATGGAGAATGGAGAATACAAAAATCACTGTGTAGGAAATACTGAAACATAGGTATAAATTAAAGTCAGACTTGATTAAAGCCACACATGTAGTCTTGAAGTTGATTCTGACCTATTAAAGGTCATAAGAGACTTCCTCCCTGTCACCACACCCTAAAGATGACATAAGTCAGTTCTATAAAATGAGTTTGCCACATTTTTTTAAATAGAGTTAGTGGTAAGATTTGACTTCCCTTCTTTTGCTGTATCAGGGATAGGGATCACATAGGATTATTTCTGTTCCATGCCTCAGGAGAGCCATGAGTGTTGAAAATGCATAGTCATGGTTAAAAATTTAAAATTCCATAATCATTACTTTAAATACTCGGTTTAAATTTTTTGCAGCACTGACAGTGCCTGTCAGAAAAAGATGGTTTGTGAGATGGAAAAGGTAAGTCATTCTTGCACTGCATAGCTG